TTGTGTGAGGAAGACGTTAATGTTACTCTCCCCACTTCTGACTGGGAATAGATTCAAGCACCAGCAGAGCCAAGATGCCCTCTGTCACCAAGCAGGACTACTTAGGGAAAAGGGCCCTTAGTTGGTAAATTCCACTGGGCTGGAGGAACAGTAATCTACGTGGGAAGACGCAGCCTTGTGCAGTGTGGACCCTTGTTTCTGGAAACTCTTCATGACTGTGTGGCATGTATGCCTTGGGTGCCCAGTGGCCCCACACCCACTGTGTCCCCCAGGACTCTGTGGTGAAGATCAGCTGATGTGGACTTTCCACAAGCCCTGGGTCCTGGGCTGACGGGTAGAAAAGGCAACAAGGCTTGTGTCTTGGATCTGTGTTCAGCTGAAGCTAAGATCGTTGGTGGGGCTGTGATGTTCTCCCCTCCCGAGATAAAAGGTGACACAGGCCGCCTCTAGGCATCCATTTCTATGGGTTTTGGTAGGGGATGGGATGAGAAAGAGTCTCATTCAAAATACCCTAGTTTTCTAAAATTTTACTAAGTTTACCACTAATATTATTAATAGAAAAACATACAGATTGTGAGTTCATACATTTTTTAAAAAATTTTATTTTATAAGAATAGGGTCCAAAAGCCAGTAAAAGAGTTGGAGACAGCTCCTGCTCTCACTGTTAGGAGCCCCACAAGAGGACCAAGCTACACAACCGTCACGTGTTTGCAGAGGGCCTAGGTCGGTCCCATGCAGGCTCCCTGGTTGTCAGTTCAGTCTCTGTGAACCCTGTGAGCCCAGGTTAGTTGATTCTGTGGGTTTTCTTGTGATGTCCTTGACCCCTCTGGCACCTACAATACTTCCTCCCTCTCTTCTGGAGGATTCCAATAGCTCAGCCTAATGTTTGGCTCTGGGTCTGCACCTGTTTCCATCAGTTACTGGATGCAGCCTCTCTGATGACCACTGGGCTAGGCACCAATCTATAAGTACAGCAGAGTATCCTTAGGCATCATTACATTGACTTTTTTTTTTCTTCAGTCATGTTTGATTCTATCCTAGGTCTCTGGGCCCAGCCTGTGGGTCCTGGGATCTCTCATGTTCTCACCCACCCTCAGTCCACCCACAAAATCTCTTCTGTTTCCCCTTTTCGGGGAGATGCAGGTGCCTCCCCCCCCCCAGCCCTCTGTGTTACCCAGCCCCTCTGGGTCTGTGGACTGTGGCACGGTTATCCTTTACTTTACAGCTAATATCCACTCACAAGTGAGTACATCCCAGTTTGTCCTTCTGGGTCTGGGTTACCTCACCCAGGATGATTTTTTTTCTAGTTCCATCCATTTGCCTGTACATTTCTGTTGGAACCTGCCGACGAGTCTACTGGGTAGCTGGGTGGAGATGTGCGGCTAATAGAGACAATGAAGAAGACAGAACAGAGTCGAGAGGTCTGCCCGTCAATGCCGGACAGTGCCTGAGTTTATTTCCCTGCCAGCTTATATACAGTCTTGAGGGACAGAATAGAACAATGCATAGCACAGACATTCAACCACTATCTACCCTGTCCTTGAGTCAAGGAGCAGGCAGTTTCATTTTCTATCTTGATCCAGCTGGCATCAATAGCCTGTGTTTAGCTAGCTAGTGTGTTCATGGGCTAATCAGGACTTTCTCACAGCCTGGAGCAAGCAAGCTTGAACTCTACTGACTCAGAATAGACTTCAGATTCAAACTGGGAAACTGAGTCATTTGTGGGCTCCCACACATTTTTTGATGTCATTGTTTTTAACAGCTGACTAATACTCCATTGTGTAAATGTACTACATTTTCTTTATCCGTTCTTCCGTTGAGGGACATCTAGGTTGTTTCCAGTTTCTGACTATTATGAATAAAGCTGCTGTAGACGAATTTCTAAACAGTCTTATTAAATAAAAAATCATGGAGCCAGATATAGAGGTTAAAGCCTGAGAGAGATCAGAGGAATAGGTACAGCCACAAGCTAACCTCACCTCACCGATACCTTAGCTTCCAAATGCAAGCGACTTCCTGTCTACCCATGCCTATATGCCTTGCTATTCTGCCATCTGATTTGTTCTCTCTGTCTAGCTACATCACTTCCTCTTCCTGCCCAGTTCTGTCACTTCCTATCTGTTTGTACAGACCTCCAGACCTCCATGGTTAACTAGTGTTGGAATTTAAGGTGTGTGCCACCATGCCTGGCTCTGTTCCCAGTGTGGCCTTGAACTCACAGAGATCCAGACAGATCCCTGCCTGCCAAGTGATGGGATTAAAGGCGTGTGCTACCTTTGCCTGACTTTTTTGTTTACTTATAATGGCTTGCCTTTTCCTCTGATCTCCAGGCAAGCTTTACTTATTAAAGTACAAATAAAATATCACCACATTTCAGCACAAATAAACTATCACCATGAGCTGCTATGAATATAGTTGAGCAAGTGATGATTGAGCATCCTTTGGGTATATTCCCAGGAGTGGTATACCTGGGTCTTGGGGTAGATCAATTGCCAGTTTTTTGAGAACTGCTATATTGATTTTCAAGATGGCTGTACAAGTTTGCACTTCCATCAGCAGTGGAGGAGTGTTCCCCTTACCACATCCTCTCCAGCATGAGCTGTTACTTGTGGTTTTGATCTTAGTCATTCAAACAAGTATAAGATGGAATCTCAAAGTTATTTTGATTTGCATTTCCCTGATAGCTAAGGATGTTTAACATTTCTTTCAGTGTTTCTTAGCCATTTGAGATTCCTTTGTTGGGAATTCTCTGTTTAGCTCTGTACCCCATTTTTTTAATTGGATTATTTGGTTATTTGATGTCTAGTTTCTTGAAATCTTTTATATTTTGGAAACCAGCCCTCTGTCAGATGTGGGGTTGGTGAAGATCTTTTCCCATGCTGTAGGCTGCCATTTGTCCTGTTGATGGTGTCCTTGGCCTTACAGAAACTTTTCAGTTTCAGGAGATCCCATTTATTAGTTGTCGATCTCAGTGTCTGTGCTATTGGTGTTCTGTTCAGGAAGTGGTCTCCTGTGCCAATGCATTCAAGGCTACTTCCCACCTTCTCTTCTATCAGCTTTAGTGTAACTGGATTTGTGTAGAGGTCTTTGATTCACTTGGACTTGAGTTTCGTGTAAGACAATAGATATAGATCTAGTTACTTTCTTCTACATGCTGACATCCAGTTATGCCAGCACCATTTGTTGAAGATGCTTTCCTTTTCCCATTGTATAATTTTGGCTTCTGTGTCAAAAGTCAGGTGAACACAGGTGTGTGGATTTACACTTGGGTCTTTGATTCGATTCCATTGATCCACCTGTCTGTTTTTATGCCAATGCCATGTGTTTTCTTATTACTATAGCTCTGTAGTAGAGCTTGAAATCAGGGATGGTGAAACCTCCAGAAATCCTCCTATTGTACAGGATTGGTTTAGTTATCCTGGGTTTTTTGTTTTTCTATTTGAAGTTGAGTATTGTTCTTTAAAGTCTGTAAAGAATTGTGGTGGGATTTTAATGGGGGAGTGCATTGAATCTGCCTAGTGCAGGCACTCAGGTGTGATCTACAGAGTGCAGGACTCAGGTGTGATCCAGAGTGTACAGGACTCAAGTGTGATCCAGAGAGTGCAGGATCAG